TTACCAGCAGTGTAGTCATTTTGGACAGTCAGTAGCCACATTTCCATTACCCTTCAAATTGCGCAAATTGAAATTACGCCCAATGGAAACACGTCAATTTCGCAACAACTCCCATTTATCACACAGAACGGGAGAAACTCCGGTGAACAAATCTTCTTAGAAGCAAATTTATTAGAGGTGCAACAGTTGACTAACGTTTCGATGTACAACTACATCTTCATCAGAGTACTACCCTGGTTGCACCGGATCGTTTTGGCATTTTTCAGAAGCGCAGTAAGCCTCCCTTTTTTTATTTTTCCCATTTATCACACTTAAACATTTTTACGTTCGTATGAGGTGGTGTTTCCAGACAGGACGAAAAAGTAACATTTCGCAAAACTGCAATGGAAACAGTTTTTGCGCATTTACAGGTCACCTGACGTACGTACGTCTTTAAAGATTAAAGCTGTATGTTTGGATGGAAGTCGAGACCGTGTTCTTCATTAAACTCATAAAAGACAAAACTATTATGTGAATACTGGATTCTAAACCACAAAGAAATGCCACAATTTATCAAGAGCTTGAAGCAGAAATGAGGGAGAAACACCCAGAAACCCCTCATTTGTGCTTCTCCTCCGTATAAGGGGCTTTTCTTGCCATTAAAGATTGTATAACACGCCTACATCTCCTTCCATTAACAATAATGGCCAGTGCAGCTTAACAGAGACCGTTTCCACCTGGTAATAAGACGAGTTTTGGTCGGACGATCAAGTGGATGAAGCTAAACACAGGTGTAAATGGGGTCTAAAATATTTTGAGCTTGTCCACCACTTCCAGAGGTAGTTGAAAATGGACGATTGCTTTCGTAATGTAAACACTCGTGATCAAACGAGGCTGATGTGCCGAAACGCAAGTATCAAGCGCGAAGCTCAAGGATCTTTGTGGGTGGGTCTTGTGCGCTGTTGCTATTTTACCGGCGGGATAAATGACTCTTGCGTAGGGTTGGGTATCGAGAATCGAGTATCGATTGGAACCGAGACTAACTTTTCGTTTTTCCCGGAATCGTTCAAAAGTTAAAATTTTGATTCCTAGTTTCGATATTCACAGTCCGCCGACCGGAAAAAGAAACCGCTGAACAACACCAACGAAGAAGCATCTGCCGGAAGTGTTGGCATAACCGCGCGAGTCGAACATGAGTAGCTTACGTCGGTGGTCCAATGTGTGGCTTCACTTTTCTAAAAATAACGAAAATCTCGGCAAAATGCAAAATTTGTGACAGAAGGAGTATTTCCTTCAGAAAGACCATTGGTTAGCAAGGTTAGCTAAACTTTTTTGACCCTGCCTCTTAAAAGAATCGAAATCGAGAATCGTTAGGAACCGGAATCGAATAAAAGGAATCGGAATCAGAATCGTTCAAATTCAAACGATACCCAACCCTACTCTTGCGCCTGACAAAAGTTTAAAAGAGGTTGGTCTGAAGTAGCTTCATTAATCATAGGTGTGGTTTGGGCGTAATGGGAAATAAACCAATCAGAGCGTCATCCAACGTACCCTTTAAAGAGCAGGTGCGCATTTGCATGGCAGGTTGTAATTATGGCGAATTGAGGCACGTGCGCAAGGAACGTTCACAGCCGAGGAGACCGACGTACATGTAAGGAATATAAAAGACAGAGAAGTGACGTTGTATATGGGGATGAGATTTTTTTTTTTCTTGTCGGACAAACTAATTAGTCAGATGTCCTTATATATATATATATATGAGTCTTGCCACTCTTGGGCAAACAAGTCTGATCCGTCATTACTAGAATTAGCCTGAACAATTTGGGTAAATAAGCTAGATTTAGGCCTACCGTTTTTACATCTTCATGGACACCACAATGATTTCCCTCATGTGTTAATATTTTTCCTTGTTATAATATATGTTTTGCAAACAATAAAAACTCAAAAAAAGTCAGAATTGCGACTTTTTTTTCCTCACAATTGCTTACAAAGTTTACATCTCGCAATTCTGACTTAAATATGTCAATTCACCTTTGGCTAAGCCCCGCCCCCCTTAGTTACTGTTGCTACATCCGTCAAACTTCATATGCGCTCTGCATGGCTTATGCTGTGACAGCTCTTCCTGCTGAAATGTTATCAAACTTTTAAGAAGCAGCAAATAAAGTGTCCGATAGAAGTAGGCAAAAGGGGCTGCAATATGCGTTCGAAGGCTATATTCAAGACATACCGGTGAAACGCAAGAAACAACAAGGCATCCAAAATAGAGGCAAAAGCATAACGTTACGGGTCACAATCAAAAAATGAACCACTGCATTTCCTACTAATCGAGACGGAGGCTGGGGCTAACAATATCAGGGAGCAACACTGTTCATGCAAAGCTGGGTAGGTCTCTATTCACTTCTATAATCGTTATTACAAAGCAAATGGACTACACGAGTATAACGTTGTATTTATTAGCAGCGTGTGCTAGTGTATCAACAACCGGTATGAGAACCGAAATCGTAACCTAAAACATTATAAAACGGTGTAACTAGTATAACTTCACAGTAATTTTAGAAGTAAAAAAGATGTGCTTGTTGATCTTTGCGGGGTTTAGCTGACTGAGGACGTCCATTACAGTTTAATCCAAACACGACACTTGTCAGGATTTGACTTCGGTTTTGGGAAGGGAAAAAACGGACACCCCCCTCCAACCTCACTGGGAAACGCGTATCTGTGTTAGAAATGCTCGAGGCACAACGTTTAACCATATTTTGGATAAAACTACGCCGGTAATAGCCTGCCGAGACCAAAAACATGAGACGCCTATGTTGAAAGTCAATGAAGCGCTGTGAAAAAGCGTCTGACCTCTGTGGGAGCTCGTTCTTGGCTGCGCTGTGATTGGTCAATATACATTCCAGGGCGTGGCTTAGCCAAAGGTAAATTCTGACTTTATAACACGCAATTGCGACTTTATATAAATTTATATCACGCAATTTGGACTTTAATCTCGCAATTCTGACTTTATAACACACAACTGCGACTTTATATCACGCAATTTTGACTTATCTTGCAATTCTGACTTTATAACACGCCATTCTGACTTTATATCTCGCAATTCTGACTTTATAACAGGCAATTGGCACTTTATATAATTTTATATCACGCAATTCTGACTTTATAACACTCAATTATGACTTTATATCTCGCAATTCTGACTTTATAACACGCAATTCTGACTTAATATCTTGCAATTCTGACTTCATAACACACAATTCTGACTTTATAACACACAACTGCGACTTTATATCACGCAATTTTGACTTATCTTGCAATTCTGACTTTATAACACGCCATTCTGACTTTATATCTCGCAATTCTGACTTTATAACAGGCAATTGGCACTTTATATAATTTTATATCACGCAATTCTGACTTTATAACACTCAATTATGACTTTATATCTCGCAATTCTGACTTTATAACACGCAATTCTGACTTAATATCTTGCAATTCTGACTTCATAACACACAATTCTGACTTTATAACACACAACTGCGACTTTATATCACGCAATTTTGACTTATCTCGCAATTCTGACTTTATAACAGGCAATTGGCACTTTATATAATTTTATATCACGCAATTCTGACTTTATAACACTCAATTCTGACTTTATATCTCGCAATTCTGACTTTATAACAGGCAATTGCGACTTTATATAGTTTTTATATCACGCAATTCTGACTCGGAATTCTGACTTATCTCGCAATTATGACTAAAACACGCAATTCTTACTTTATATCACGCAATTCAGACATCATATCTTGCAATTGTGAGAAAAAAAGTCAGAATTGTGAGATAAAAAGTCGCAATTACCTTTTTTATTTTTCATTCTGTGGCGCAAACAAGCTTCCATAGATAGCCGCACCCTTTCCCCATCCCACGTGACCGCAATTGAAGAGAGGTCGTTTCAATGGGGGAGGGAAGGGTAATGTATTTGATTTAAAGATTATAAGGTTACATGAATTAAAAAAAAAATGAAGTGCACAGATAAATCATTTATAATAAACACTACAATATTACATATAAAAAGAAGATTTGTCAAATTTGATTTCATGCCGACTTTAAAAATAGAATGCTGGTGAGGTAAGTTTACAGTATGCCCATGTCTCTTTATGGACCGATGTCAGTTCAGAGGTGTTTAAATGCCGGTGCAAAGTTTTCCAGAAATTTTGCAATGATGAGCTTATTTGAACCGTCATCACAATTTCAAATGAAATTGGTTCGTTCCTTAATTTAGTTTGAAATCAGGCACTTATTATCTGTACTGTGTTAATGTTGGAAAGCTGCTTTACAGTAGGGCTTGTGATTCATCGGAATGGTCCTGAAATGACAATGCTACCATGCTCTATTACTAAACCAAAGAGAACAGAGCGGGTTGAGCATGGAAGAAAGCACAGAAACGGAAGGCTTTCAGGCCAGGATAAGGGTTTGATGCAACAAATTAAATAAAACATCTACATCCGTGGTTTGGGAATGAACAGTGGGTCATTCACTCAGACGATCACACGTATTTGCTTTTAAAAACACGAGACGCAGGTCCTGAGAAATCCTGATTATATGGAGCAAACATTTTTTCTTTTTTATATATTGCACGGCCCTACTCTAGAGAGTGAGTCAGATATACTTCTGGGTCAAGAAGAGTTTAAACTGCACCCATATGTGATGGGATGTTGGCTGGTTTAATGAGGCTCTTGAGTGAAGAAGTCCACTGTTGTCTGACTGTGAATATATTCCCTGAAGCTTGTTAACATGCATACATGCAATGTTAGGCTCTCCATATTTGTCATTAACGGGCTTAAGAGTGCCACGACTGCCTCCAATATATTAGGATTCATTAGAGGCAGTCGTCTCTGCCAGTCTGTTTATCCAGGAACTGCGTAAATGAACTGGCACACACTTCATGCTGTGATTCTGTTCTGTACTTTTACGTTTTTATCCTGTTGGCAGTACTTCACTGAAAGTGTGTGTGTTTTCAGACGGTGTTTCCCGTGCCGGAGCGGCTCTCTTCAATGAGCTGAGGAACGCAGTGTTTGGGAAAGTGGCTCAGAGCTCCATCAGGAGGATAGCCAAGAACGTTTTTCTCCATCTGCATAACCTGGATCTGGGCTTCCATCTGAGCAGGCAGACAGGAGCGCTGTCCAAAGCTATTGACCGCGGCACGCGAGGAATTAGCTTCGTGCTCAGTGCCCTGGTCTTTAACCTGGGGCCTACGCTCTTTGAAATGATACTAGTCAGCAGCATTTTGGTAAGTCCAAATGAAATCCTCATATAAAGCCACAGATAATGACTGTTCTTAAAATGAAGAGCACTCCTCTTTAAAGCAAAACTTCGACTTTTGGGACTTTAGCTTATTCAGCATATCCCCCAGAGTTAGATAAGTCCATAAATACCTTTTTTATCTCCGTGTGTGCTGTAACTCTATCTGACGCACCCACCGCTAGCCTAGCTTAGCACAAAGACTGGATGTAAATGGATACAGCTAGCATACTAATCCCAAAAAAGTAACAAAATAGCGCAAACATTTTCCTGTTTACATGTTGTGATTTGTGTACAAATAACAAGGTCATATGAGACACAGCCATCTTTTAACTATATAGATATTATAACTATATTCTCGGAAGGCAAAGCACTGGGCGGAGTGAAATTGGAGTGAAAGCTTGCTAATGAATCAGATTTTTTTTTTTTTTTTTTTTTTTTTTTAACAATGAGCTCCAGTACGGGTAGGCTACTGTGGGTTCATTGTGCAAAAACCATTTGCCTTGTGCTATTACTTTCCCCTTTTTCTTGCCTATTATAATGCAATTATCTAACATTAGCCTACTGTATTATATGCTGTTGAATACATTTGATTCAGCTGTAATAAATTGCACTTAAAGGGTTAGTTCACCCAAAAATGAAAATTAAGCCATTAATTACTCACCCCCATGCTGTACCAACCCCGTAAGACCTTCGTTCGTCTTCGGAACACAAATGAAGATATTTTTTTATTAAATTTGAGAGCTGTATAACTACCACATTGGCTCCTAAGGGACTGGCTCTTGACGGCCCAGAAAGTCAATGAAGAAAATGTTTAAATATCCCAAGTGACTACCGTGGCTCAACTATATGTTTATCAAGCGACGCGAATACTTTTTGTGCGAAAAAACAAACAAAAATAACGAGTTTATTCGACTATTTCTTTTCTTCCTTGTTGGCCAGAACGAGAATTCCTTAGATTTCCACGACGCATGCGCGAGAATTGCGATCTGCTTATACCAGCTTATACTACTTCAGATCGCAATTCTCGCGCATGCGTCGTGGAAATCTATAAGGAAGTCTCGTTCTGGCCTACAAGGAAGAAAAGAAATAGTCGAATAAACTCGTTATTTTTGTTTGTTTTTTCGCACAAAAAGTATTCGCGTCGCTTGATAAACTTATAGTTGAGCCACTGTAGTCACTTGGGATATTTAAACATTTTCTTCATTGACTTTCTGGGCCGTCAAGAGCCAGTCCCTTAGGAGCCAATGTGGTAGTTATACAGCTCTCAAATTTAATCAAAAATATCTTCATTTGTGTTCCGAAGACGAACGAAGGTCTTACGGGGTTGGTACAGCATGGGGGTGAGTAATTAATGACTTAATTTTCATTTTTGGGTGAACTAACCCTTTAAAATATATCGATTACTGCAATAATTTAATCATGTTCTGTGATATTTATTAGCCAGGATGCGTTATTGGTTGGAATTCTATGAAACATCATGGTATTACCTGGTCTCTCCTGTTTATTGTCGCTGCTCTTTACAATACAGCGAACACCCATGATTGTAAATTATGCTTTTACTATCTAGTAATTGGTGACTCTATTACTCCAACTGTGAACGAACTCTCTGCTCCTCACCACCAGGTGCTGCGGTAATCACTCCGCCCAAGTAGCAGTGCTTCGCCTTCTGAGAATATAATTCCCAATATATATATAGAGTTAAAAGATGGCTGTGTCTCATATGACCTTGTTATTTGTACACTCTGTGACTATACAAATCACAACATGTAAATAGGAAAATGTTTGCATAATTTTGTCACTTATTTGGGATTAGTATGCTAGCTGTATCCATTTACATCCAGTCTTTGTGCTAAGCTAGGCTAGCAGTGGGTGTGTCAGACAGAGTTACAGCACACACAGAGATGAGAAGGGTGTGTATGGACTTTTCTAACTCTGGGGGATATGGTGAATAAGCTAAAGTCCCAAAAAGTCGGATTGTTCCTTTAACTTGGGTAAAATGGCTAGTTGCTTTCCTAATACAACATAAATTGGATAAAAGGGAACAATGTTCAAAAAGTGCATCCACACTATATGCACCGTAATTTTACCAGACGAAAATATTCAGCCGGATATATTTCATTTCTGACCAAAACTGTTTTGGAGGGCCGATATAATTGACGCATGACTAAAAGGGACTTGTCTAACTAGGGTTGGGTATTTGTTTGATATCCAATTCTTATCAATTCCCAGTTTCGATTACAATATGGTAAAAAAAAAAAGTCAAACATTTCATGTCTTTTTGAAAAACATTCCCTGTCAGCTGAATACAATGAACGAAAAACAGCAGCGTAAAGAAAAATTAACTAAAGCTAGACAAACTCAAAAAGACAAGTACAGTCAGTAATAGCAAACTACCAACAAATAAGCAAATTAGCAATAGCACAAAGTACAACTGAACAAGGGTCCGCAGTTTTTGCAATTTCATCACATATAATTGCATAAATTTCCCGCATATTCCATCGCATTTTAAGAAAACGGGCCACATAATCAAGGATTTTTGTCCACAACAATCACACAAAAAAAAATTTCTGGAAGGACTTTCCCACGTGTGCTTGATATTCACATCCACAGGTTGATTAACGGTAAATACTAGGGGTGGTGATGGCGCAGTGGATAAGACACATGCCTTTGGTGTGAGAGACCCGGGTTCGAATCCACTGTGAGACACCAATGTGTCCCTGAGAAAGACACTCAAAGGGATAGTTCACTTTGAAATAAATTTTTGATATGTTTTAGCTTACCTCAAGGGCATCCAAAGATGTAGGTGTCTTTGTTTCCACAGTAGTTTCAATTTTGATATTTTTTAGGTCAAACCGTTCTTGTGTGTCAGTCATATAATGCAGGTCTATGGTCACCACCTCAAAGAGCATGCACAGAGAAGTCCAAATTAAACATGATTTAATGACTCGTAAATGTAAGTACACATTGATGGCCTAAGACACGAAACGAGCGGTTTGTGTGAGAAAACGAACAGTATTTATATCATTTTTACCTCTTGTAACCACAGCCACGTCCAAGTGATCTGAGGGTGCGGGCGCTTCGGTCTGCGCAAGCGCGGAAGTGATCTCTCACGCGATTGCGAAAAAAACATTGTCTGCTGATATATCGAAATCGTCTTCCATTGCAATTTTCTGTATATGTAAATATGTTTAGATCTTCACAGTGAAGTATAACACTTCTGAAATCTCTGTGTAAATGAGTGACGTACACGCGCGAGAGAGATCACTTCTTGCGCAGACCGAAGCGCCCGGGCCCTCGGATCACTTGGACGTGTCTGTGATTACAAGAGGTAAAAACGGTATAAATACTGTTCGTTTTCTCACACAAACCGCTCGTTTCGTGTCTTAGGCCATCAATGTGTACTTACATTTACGAGTCATTAAATCATGTTTAATTTGGTCTTCTCTGCACATGCTCTTTGAGGTGGTGACCATAGACCTCAAATTATATGACTGACAGACAAGTACGGTTTGACCTAAAAATATCAAAATTGAAACTAATGTGGAAACAAAGACACCTACATATTGGATGCCCTTGAGGTAAGCTAAAACATATCAAAAATTAATTTCAAAGTGAACTATCCATTTAGTAGCGTGCGACCTCTGAAATAAATAGCAAAAGTCGCTTTGGATAAAAGCGTCAGCTAAATGAGTAAATGTACTATAGTGATACCAAAAACACTAACTCTAACAGGGCATCTCCATGTGTAATGGTGAAAATAAAGGGTGAAATGAAAACGAGAGCAGATTATTGAGATGATTGTAGCTGCGCTGTAGACTCATGCACTCGCTCTTTCAGTAACCCACCGCTGTTTTGCTGTTTCTTTGCAGTATTATAAATGCGGGGGTCAGTTTGCCATGGTCACTCTCGGGACCCTCTCAGCGTACACCGCATTCACAGTCGCTTTTACACAATGGAGGTACTGTATGTGTCTGTCAAATAGCTGCCGTTGTTTGTAACATTAACACACTGGGTTTTGTCGGCTGTTGTACTAATCGCCCGTCTGTCTCTGATCAGGACGCAGTTCAGGATCCAGATGAATAAGGCTGACAATGAGGCTGGAAATGCTGCAATCGACTCTCTCCTCAATTATGAGACTGTAAAGGTGGGTCACGTCATAATCCGCATTGTCACTGCAACATTTGTGACAAGTCAACTTTTTTGACTTTACTTTTTCTTCTAGCATCTTCTGGATCATTAATTTCCTGCCGTGTCATACAGTATTATGGCGCTTTTCCATTACCAGTACCGGCTCGACTCGCTTTTCGCTCCGTTTTCCAAAGCAGTACCGCCACAAATAGTCTTCGGCAACCAAACAAAGGAAAGTCTGCACCTCCTCGTTTGACCACGCCGTATTCTTCCGAGTTGCCATAATAATAATAGTAGTAAGTTTAGAAACTATCTCTGGCCAAACTATTTAAACATGGCGGGGTTATTCTGGATACTCCATCTGGCGCGTGCAATGATGACGCAGTGAATGGTGACGATTCTCTCTGACCAATCAGCAGTCGGCATTGTTTTCACGTCACTTTTTAGTATCGCCTTAGCTCGCTCAGAACCTCGCCGGAGGTGGTACAAAAAAAAAGTACCCGAAAGCAGGTACAGGTACAACTTTTATACAGTGGAAAACCAAACAAAGTCGAGTCGAGCTGGTCCTGTGTGGAAAAACGCCATTAGAGAGGCACATATGAGTGTTGTGGGTTTTCATGTGTGGTTTCGGTTGCTTACAGAGAAGACTATATGAGCCGTTTGTGTCTCTCAAAGGTTTCAGATTTAGTCAGTTTCTACTGGAGCTGCTCCTGTCAGTTTTGTGATTAATCAAGATTGTAAGTTTTGAGCAAAATAATCATGATTATCAGTTTAACCATTATCGTGCAGCCCTAATCTGAGTGGAGCTTTTGAGTTGCGCACAGGCCACACACATGTAAATAAATAAATGTGTGTATATATATATATATATATATATATATATATATATTAGGGCTGGGCAAAAAAATCGATTTTTCGATTAATCGTTTTTTAAAATGTGTTCGATTCAAAATCGATTCTTAACGGCCACGAATCGATTTTTCCATATAAAGGGCTCGCGGACGCGGTGCTGCATCTTCTCGTCTCTCTGCACTAGGCAAGCGCTGCAGCTGTCGATACACACGCGTTTAGGAGTCGGGACATGACGGAATATTCACTTAACAATCGGGCCAGCATTGCATCGTAACCTATGATCGTAACTAACGTTTATCATTTTCACGTCTTTTTAAGTTTTACAAGCAATGTTAAACCATCCCGTGCTCGCGCACTCTCAGAGATGTCTTTCACTGCGTGCACAGTAACGTTACAGCCTAAATCTGCCTCACAAACAGCTCGCCAGAAACAAAAGTTTTATCCCTGGATTATATCACTTTAACAGTTAAAACACGCAACATTATGTCAAAACTCTGGTCTTGGTGAGTAACCTCGTAAAGACAGTCGGTAATGTCTTAAATTAGCATTAAACGCGTGTGACAGAAAGTTAATGAAACAGTAATGGATTCGCACACTAGTTCTTAAAGTGAACGCAGCCATTTGTGTCAGTCATTAATTCTGTTGTCATAACAACAGAATATAGTATTAATTGTAAGCAATCAGAATTAATAGCCTTTGTATTTAATTCAGTCTGGACTAAAAAGACTATCCAGTGTTATTTTACATTGGATTACTTTATTCAGTTTCTGTAGTATTTCTGACATACCCAAAAAACTACCGCAAAATGTCTCTTAATTTGTGTCTTTATTCTGTTGTATTTATTTGTGCTACTTTTTTCAATTTAATTCAAAGATTGAAATCAAGCTTCCATACATAAACTCTTAAAACAAAAATAAACAAAAAATTACATTACCATTTAGGTAAGATCAATGTAAAAAAAGTCTAAATATTTATATATTTATTTATCTATATCTATCTTAAACATAAAATAAGATGATACTGTTTGATCAAGCTGTGCGACTGTTCTGCCTTTTTTTGTATATTGCATCAAAATCCTGTTTATTCTTTGTATGCATTTAGTAAATAAAAAGAGTTTTATATACAGGTTTATGGCTCTTAATTTCCTTGTATTAATTAACCACTAGTAAACTTATGTCCACTGTTCTTTTTTATAAATATAGGATTTATATTACATCTTCATTATAGTCGAATCGAGAATCAAATCAGAAATCGAAAATTGAATCGAGAATCGAAATCGAATCGAAATCGAATCGAACTGAGAGCTTGTGAATCGAAATCGAATCGAAATTGAAATGTGAATCGATACCCAGCCCTAATATATATATATATATATATATATATATAATAGAGGTGGAACGGTACACAAAAGTCACGGTTCGTACCGTTCCACCCCTATTATATATATATATATATTCACACACTACGATTTCGGTACAATGAGGAGAAAAGCAAAACAAAAATACAGAAGTCATAGAGTTTTTTTTTAATAAAGGCATAGAACCAGTTTATTTGTGGTGCACTGACAAAAGTTTTATATTATTCGTTTATTAATTAAATGAATAAAAAGACAAAAAGACCTTGCGACATGTTTGGTAATTGTACCTGAATTAATTAAAAATTATTTTGCTATATTTCAGATCAATAGATTTGTTTTCCTTAATTTTAATTAACATTATTTATTAACAATGTAACATTATTCTCATCTGAATTATAAATAATTGATTTTTGTATGAAATAATACTACCATTAAAAATTTGCGTCTAGTTCGACGCTAGTCCAAAGCGAATAGGACGCGCGTATAAAGCCAACGTTTGAAGTGAACGCGCGTTCAGAGCTAGCCGATGGTACAGACTATGTGTCCCTAAAGAACCCGTGTATCTAACAGTAGTTCCGCATTACATTAATTAATTTGGACGCAAGTTTTATTTATTTTTATTCCATGTATTCTCTGTGTAAATTCGTGCACCGAACCGTGACGCCCGTACCGTTTCGGTTCAATACGAATACATGTACCGTTCCACCCTAATATATATATATATAGTTGCAAATGAGATTTACATCGCTCCACCAATGCAAATTTAAACAGACAGACCGCATGAACGATACTTTACGCTCTTTTATTTGTATTAGTAATTTTCACCTTTGAAATGGACAAACACTGCAGGCAAATGACGGTGATGTAGTTTTCAACTGCTTTACATTTTTGCAAACTGGTAAAACCTTAAGAAGCTTCTCTCAAAAGAAGCTTGTAAACGTGTAAAATTAAATTCCTAATATTAATTCCAAATTATTAATTTTTACTTCGTATTGAAGCACAGATTCCACAGACTGCATTTATTCATCAACCATGATCGCCTAGCCTTACTGCATCAGACTTCGTACTTCCACTCCATTTCAGTTCGCTTCTGTACTTACGCCGCCTTCACACTGGCAGTTGAAATCAGCTCCGTAATACGCAATACGTTCCCAACGGACGTCATACTACACAGTGAAAAGCGTCGGACGCGGGTAGAACAAAAATGGCGGAGAGATTAAAGTTTGATTCTGTCAGTTCTGTATGATCTCTCTGATGAGGGTTATGCTGCGTGAGGAAAGTTGCTCAGGACGTGACATGTCAGGTCGGCTAAAAAATGTGATATAGTGGTCAATAGTTCAATGTCTACCTTCAATTTAATTGTATTAACTGCCCTTATAAACGTTAGAAAGTCATGAAAATAAAAAATGACATCACAACTTATCGTTATAAAATCAATATTTATTTTATTAAAAGTTAATAATTCAGGTTTGTTTATCAGTACCATAGCAACGGTCAACTTCCGCTGGAATTGTCGGATAGGAACCGTCCGTAGCTTTTCGCAAGAGTTCAAATTTCTTGAACGCATCCGGATGACCAACGGACACGATTTTCTTCGCACCGCACTCGGTCGGACCCGTTTTGGACCCATTCGCATGCGGTCTGCGAATCTCCATAGGAAGTGAATGACTTCCGTTCGTTTCGCAGCCGCATCGGAGCTGATTTCAACTGCCAGTGTGAAGGCGGCGTTAGTCTGAGACATCGACATGTCTCTCAGTTTGAGAGACACAGGCTAAGAGCCGTGACATTGACGCTTAGCGCCGATGTTTAAAGGAGAACTCCGGCGAACAATGAACCTTTGGTCTAATAAAACATCGGTACATAGTCAACCGTTCTCTGAGATTTGTTTTCATGATAATCGAATGTAAAGAGTTTTATCTCTAAAAACTGTTTAGCGTATAATGCTAGTACTGGGGGCATTGACTAAGTAAAAGAAATCGCTAGTTTATACCACTAATAAGGCTCAAAATAGCCCCACATTAACGCAGTAACATAATGAGGGTCCATACATGCAAAACGAAGCATTGAGAACTTTGTAAGTGTACAGACCGTTTAATAAGAAGATACTTTATGAAGACAGTTCACTTCGCGTATACAGACAGGAGCCATCTTAAAAAATAGTCTCGATAAGTCGATCCCCGAACGACGTGCTGAGTGATCTGAGCTGTATGAAGTTCAGCGAACTTCTGAACTGTATGAACCGCTTTCGGGGATCGACTTATCGAGACTATTTTTTAAGATGGCTGCTGTCTGTATACGCGAAGTGAACTGTCTTCATAAAGTATCTTCTTATTAAACGGTCTGTACACTTACAAAGTTCTCAATGCTTCGTTTTGTATGTATGGAGCCTCATTATGTTACTGCGTTAGTGTGGGGCTATTTTGAGCCTTATTAGTAGTATAAACTAGCGATTTCTTTTACTTAGTCAATGCCCCCATTACTAGCATTATACGCTAAACAGTTTTTAGAGATAAAACTCTTTACATTCGATTATCAAGAAAACAAATCTCAGAGAACAGTTGACTATGTACCGATGTTTTATTAGACCAAAGGTTCATTGTTCGCCGGAGTTCTCCTTTAAGATGGGGGAAATCGAAAACCACGCGGATATGGAGACACGGGATGCAATTCGCTCTGTTGTGGAGAATATTCCAAACTAAAGGCCGAACAAGAAGAGTGTTTGGGAAAAGTTAATTTACAGGTTTTGGGAAAAGTTAATTTATAAACTAAAAAGTTAATTTATAAACTATTACCTTTCGTCATTGAGA